CGATAGGTAAACAGGTGATATCACAATATGCAGAGCAACCACTGTGAAAAAATAGTAGAATTCCAAGCACTTTCGTGATTTCTTACGATCACAGAGATCGCCTTACACACTACGTTTTAAAGTACACAATGGACTAAGCTTTTCAGTCTGTAAGCGACTTCTCCCACTATCTTTCTGAACCATTGTTCAGCATGATTTTCGGATAAGTGATGCCGACATTCTGGAGTAACTTGAGCTCCAAGACCTCCCAATTCTCAAAGTGGACACTTATGTACTACCTGCCCGCGGGCAGAGACGCTTCCCCTACAATGTAGCTCGCTTATTTTTTGACTGCCGAGAGCTTCCATCCTCAGTTTATATTGCGGGACACCGTCTACAAGTCCGGGAGTTGATCCCCTACACCACAACAGTGTAGAAATTACTGGTGCTTCGGCCACTCGGTGAAATATTTCAGGTCCATGGCAGAATGCCCAGTCTGTGAGGCTGCCGACCATACCAATACATCATGCAGCCTACCTACTTCTTGCTTCAGCTGTAATGAGGCTCACCTGAGTTATTCTCGCCGTTGGCAGTCTCTCATCTCCGTCTCCAAGAGACTTCCACGACTTTCTTATTCTAGAGTTACTAAGAGGCCTCCATCCTCGGTGGTACCTGCTTCCACAATCTCCTCCGTGGTCACAGCTTACACAGTCACCTCTGTATCTAACTCTTTTGCAGTCCTGGACTCCGAGGTCCCTACCTCGTTGCATCATACTATCCTTGAATTTTCATCTTCTTGCTCGCATGTTTCTATGTCTACAAAACCTCCCACAACTACACCTTTCCTCCCCTTCTCTACTTCTCCAAAATTTAAAACATTCCCAAAGTTCAAATTACCTTTAACCCCTCCTTCACTTATCCTTCCTAAACATTTTTCCTTTCCAGTCTCTGTGCCTAGTTGTTTACCTTTTACTGGCTCTATTACGAGTGTGGAGGTTCATCCTCTCGCTCGTACAGTACCCTCCTCTCCTGTCCCCTCCCAAGTTGACTCTAACCTCTCAAATCCCCCCTTCTTTGGTAACTTTTATCGTCTCTCCACATGTAGACACCTCCTACTTCATGTTACCGGTATACTTCTCTTTGCTAATCATCACTTATTTATAGTGGAATATTCGAGGCCTCAGGGGTAATTGGGGTGAGCTTCAAGTGTTGCTCTCCTAATTTTCCCGTTTGTGTCTGTTTGCAAGAACCTAAATTACGTTCTGCTGTTATCCATCCCATCTTGGGCTTTGTTTTATTGCATTCATTGGATCTTTTTCCCGAAGGAACATTTAATGAAAGTGCACATCTTGTATGCACCAGTATACCATGCCACCACATCTTTGCTCATACTTCGCACCGTTACACTGCAGCCTGCATCTACTTGAACAAATGGTATACAGTCTGTTCTATGTATCTCTCTCCTTTGCGAGCATTATCTATTCTAGATATTGCGTTACCGCCACCTCTTCTGTTATTAGCAGATTTTAATGCTCATCATTTCCTCTGGGGGGGGTCTCGCTGTGACTCATGGCGATCAGTTAAAGGCTCTTCTCATTTCTCTTCCCCTCCATGTTTTAAATACCGGTAGTCCCACCCATTTTGACCCTCGTACTCAATCTCTCTATCTCTGCATTGATCTCTCAGTTTGCTCATCAACTGCACTTGACTTTACCTGGTCTGTGCTCCCAGATTTACATGACATCGATCATTTTCCTATCCTCCTTACTTCCCATTCGTATTCTCGCCCTCCTCAAAGCCCGCATTGGCAGTTTGAATAAGTGAATTGGTACCTGTACTCGCGTCAAACTGTTTAGAGTGAGGATCCCTCAAACCTCGAGGAGGTACTCTCAGAAATGCGTGCCTTAGTGGTCTACTGCTTGTGCTCGTGCAGTACATTTGAAACGTGCTGCATGAGGCCAATATCATTACAATAGGACCAAAGTGACTCCTTGATTTTAAATGGGCGAGAGCTGTTGCCCAACGTGTCATCTGTGAAGCTAAACGCACTTGTTGGCGGGATTATGTTTCTACCAATACTTCGGCTTCCTCTATGAGTACAGTTTGGAAAAGAGTACAGAAAATGAGGGGCAAGTACTCTCCAGATCCGGCTCCCATTCTTCGGGTTGAAAATTAGACACGTCCAACATGTGGGTATCATTATTGTGACGTTTCACCATCCAGTCGCTTTCAATACAAATTCAAGGACATAACTGGAAGACAGTAGAACTATATACAAAAGATGAGGTAATCAGTCCCTCAGCCTTGAAGTTGTGAAGAGCACCGTAGTCATGAAGAATCTGGAGCACAGGCGATTATTATTCCAAGTTTGGCAGTACTGTCCTGGCCTGGGTCTTTTTCATTTGATGACCAGGTTTTGGCTCTCTGTCACGAGAGTGTCTTGAAAGGCATGTCAGCTGCGTAGCAGCAGGCGATATCACGAAGGGCAGAGGAAGCAATCACTACAGGGTCCATCTGGAGCTACACCCCAGCTTTAGACCAAGCACTGGGGAAGCTCAGCTTCATGATGATTGGTTGACAGGAAGCTTCATGCTGAATGGTCGGTGAAGTTATATCTAGTTGTGGAGCCATTTTTTATGGACCTGAATCTTGTTCTGGAGACTTGGTTTATCTTGATCTTTCTGCAGGTGTTGCTTAGATATTTTTCGGTGTCTTCCAGCAGGTCTTGAAGTGTGGATGGGTCTTTGTAATCAGTGGTGTACTCGACAGTCCCATTTTGTAGTCGAGTGTACAGCCTCTCCTCACTTAGCAACGTACTCGTTATTACCAACGACTCGGACTTATGACAGGCTCTCTGACCAGTATGCATACCTAAATAATGTATATTAGAGCTGATTTCCTCTATTCTAATTACTATATACAGTAAACTACTGTATAAACATTTAAAAATATACCAGAAATGTTATAAATGGTGCAAGGTGACATTAAAATGTCACTGAGGAGCATACCATTATACATAGTATGCTCCTCACTTAGTGACAAATTCGTTTACCAACATGGTTTTAGGAATGCAACTCCATCGTTAAGTGAGGAGAGGCTGTAGTTCTTTGCAGGACATTGCAGTACTGTGAGGGGCACTTGTATAGAGCTCTACACCTGGCCAGTTTGCATAGCCAGGCTGTCAAAACTTCCTCTATCCTTGGATATTCCTGTTGCTTCAGCAGGTTGGCTCTTGGCTGATAGTTGGTGCAGTTGAGTGAGATCACTGATTGGTCCATTTCAGCGGTGGAGGCATTGTCACTGGTAGGCAGGATTCCCCAGTGGAAGTAGGTCATACCCAAGAGACGAGTTAGTAGTAGTGAAGAAGATTGTGGAGATGTCCTCTGAACCAAGATTCCATGATGTTGCAGTGTCTGACAGGCTGTTCACGAATGGTATACAATACCGACAATACAATGCACATTTCCTCCAATGTCGTCACCACTCTAACACCCTTACTTTATCTTCCCTCCTTGGTGAGGGCCCCACCTTTGACACAGGCTCCCTATTTGACTTTTTGACAGCAACTGATTTATTACACAGACTTTGATTATACAGTGGTACCTTGGGATATGAACAGCTGAAAACTCGAGCAATTATGTACTAAGTGTATTTATGGAAGTGTATTTTTGGGGATCTGAAACGGATTAATCTAATTTACATTATTCCACATGGGAACAAATTCATTTGGTATTGACACTCGAACAGCCTTCTGGAACGAATTAAGTTTGTATCCCGAGGTACCACTGTACTTCCTTTAGTACTCCTCACAGCCGTTTCTAACTACCTCTTTGTCATCCTCTCCACCCCTGGCTATTTTTTATTCCAGCCACACACCCTGCAATGCAGCACTGTACGACCCTCGTGGGTTTAGTGCTTATTTTTTATTAATAATAAGTGTTGTTTAGTGAATTACACAAGCAGATTAAGTTTAAGTTGGCAGCAAGCTGACAAGGGCTCCTTCAAACTTAAGTTAATTTTGGGTCTCATGGCAAGTTTAACATAATATCCCCTGGTGGGATCATTATTGTATTTATGAGGAAGCGTTAATCCTATCAGGGTCACAGTGCCTGGGGAATGGGATGTAATCATATTTGATCTGAGGAAAGGGAGGGCAGCTCTCATTCTTTGAATCAAAAGCCATTCATCGACATCAAGGCACTGAAGTGCAAGTTTTACCTTGTCTTTCTTAACTAAGAATTGTAATACAATTTTGGTGTGGTTGTAGCATTTAAAGATAATGGCTTACCATTATTATATATTATTGATAACAGTAATGCTATTACTTTAGATGTGTCAAGCAAAAATTCCTGTGGTTCATTCAACACAAGGGTTGAAGTTCAATCCATCATCCCCTAAGTGCGAACAAAGCTACTCTTGCAGTTGCTGTATGACCCTTGTGGGTTTAGTGCTTGGTTTTGATAGTAATAATAATAATAATACTCTTGCAGTCAGATTTTCCCAATCAAGAACCAGACAGATTGAGTGAGTATACACTCTTTAATAATCTTTGGTGTGTCCATATCTGAATACTCTGGCTATCAGTTGATTTCCATAATATGTAGATATTGTGCTTGTTGTGTACAAAGTGTTTGTTACGGCATAAGCAGGTTGATTTATTGGGTTTAGTTTGTTGACTACATAAAGGTCATTAAAGCTGCATGTAGGCCCACCTGTGCACCACCAGTCAATAATATTTAAAGCCTAATAACAGTCTGAGCCTACTTCCTAGTGAAATACACCAGAATTAAGTTTCAATCTGATGAGAATTCTTGAGCTATCACACAAACTTTTTAGACAAAATATAAATCTGATAGCCACTGTTTTTTAATAGGTAAATTTCCTTTCAGGGGGGGATACACTGATGCTGAAGGATCATGGTCCAAGGAACTGGAGGTACCCTACCTTCCTTGGACCAAATCTGATTTAGTACCTCCCCATTAACGTAATAACATAGGTAAGGATAGTTTGTACTGCTGAACAATAATTTAAAAATTTAATTTTGGCAAGATAACATTAAATTTAGAATACTAGATACAATTTTTTTGTTTTTAATAAACCGGCAATATCCCACCAAGGAAGAGTGACCTTAAAAGAAATACAAGTTTTTCTTTTTAAATTTAGTAATTTATACAGAAGGGGTTACTAGCCCCTTGCTCCTGGCATTTTAGTTGCCTCTTACAACACAGAGGAATAATTCTTTTCCACTTCCCCAAGGAGATAAGATTATAATAAAGAAGAAAAAGAACTATTAATAAAATACGAGAAAGCCCAGATGGGTGTGTAAATATATATGAGTGAACATGAATATGTAGTGTGACATAAGTTTAAGTAGCAGTATCAAGATAAACCCATTATCCCTGTGTTTATGAGACAGAAAAGAAAAGACACCAGCAATCCTACCATCATTTAAAAAAATTACAGGTTTCCATTTTACACTCACTTGGCAGGATGGTAATACCTCCCTAGATGGTTGCTGTTTAACAACCTACTGCCTAGGATACATAAAAATATTGTAATTTAAGTACATGTACAAAATGTTTTAATGAGGGACAAATAACATTATTATACAGAAGGGCCCCGCTTTACAGCATTTCATAATACACCGTTTCACTAATACAGTGGTTTTCATTTATACCCACTCTTCATTTATTCAGACTTCCTACAACACATACATTCACTACTAACTGCAAGCTAAGGATGCAAATAGTTTAAGGTAAGTAATGAAAAGGTTAGTGGACGAGTTTGGGAGGGTGTGTAAAGGAAGAAAGTTGAAAGTGAACATAGATAAAAGTAAGGTGATGTGGGTATTGAATGAGTTAGAGAAAAATTGGATATTAGATTGGAGGGAGGGAGTATGAAAGAAGTGAATGTGTTCAGATATTTGGGAGTAGATTTGTCAGCGGATGGGTTTATGAAGGACGAGGTAAACCATAGAATGTATGAGAATATAGTGGTACCAACACTCTTATACGAGTGTGAAGCATGGGTTGTGAATGTTGCAGCAAGGAGGAGGCCGGAGGCAGTGGAGATTCTGTGTCTAAGGGCAATGTGTGGTGTAAATATTATGCAGAGAATTTGTAGTGTGGAAATTAAGAGGAGGTGCTGAGTTGCTAAAAGTATTATTCAGAGCTGAGGAGGGCTTGTTGAGGTAGCTTGGTCATTTAGAGAGGATGGAGCACATTAGGATGACTTGGGCAAATAAATCTGTAGTGGAGGGAAGGAGGGGTAGGAGTCATCCTAGGAAAGGACAGAAGATAAGAGAGGTTTTTGTAGAGAAGGAGCTTGGACATACAGCAGGCATATGTGATAGTGTTAAACAGGAGTGGAGACAAATAGTTTTTGGGACTTGACGAGCTGTTGCAGTGTGAGCAGGGTAATATTTTGTGAAGGGATTCGGGAAAACCGGTTAGCCGGACTTGAGTCTTGGACACTAAGTACAATGCCTGCACTTTAAAGGAGGGGTTTGGGATAATGGCTGCTTGGAGTGACATCTAAACTGTCATATCTGGATGTCTCTGGAAAGACTGAGTATGTGTGAATGATGGTCACCTACCGTGGTAGGAGACGGCTGACGTGTAAGAAAAAAAAAAATACTGACATGTAAATTTCCATTAGTTACACTGTACATAAAATGGTCATGTTATATGGCAGGTATAATTAACGGCTATGGTAGGAAGACATTTGGTGCAGAGAAAGCCTTTTATTATTAACTTTTCACCCACACAAGGGCCTTTATTAATTAAGACATTCCAGGAATAAAGCAACAAAGTATTATACACACACCTTTTCCCTCTTAGTTCATTTTGAATTGTAGAAATAAAGCTGCAGATACTCAACAATCTGATTGGGAACACTGGGAACATCCAGCAAATCTTTTCATTTAGTGGTAGTGTAGCTGACAACCAATCCCAGGTTCTCCAACTCATCAAAACTAACACGAGTCTTATATCCTGGAAAACCATATGCACTGCAAACTTACCAGATCAAATGTCAACCATCAGGCATGTACAAGATCTCAAAAGGTGGGCAAAACACTAGTCTACAGCTGTATGACTCACGCAAACTTACTAATTTTCAGAAACATTAACAACAGATTCTACACGGTGGAACATCACTTGAACACAAGTATGAAAGGAAAATATACAATTAGAACTATGCCTGTTATACAGAGACAAACACACACTCCTCATGGAACAGATATATGTAGAAATCATTAAGGAAACCCCAAAGAATATTGGAAGATTTGTGTAGGGAAAACCTAACTCCTGAATCCAAAATTCACTCTCATCCTAGAGGTGATATGGATTTCCTCTAAGATCACAACCACAAATGATACCTAACCTCACTTCTCCACCTGCTGCTGTATTCCTAGTATGACTTAATAAAGCCCACTGTCTGAGTGAAATGTTATCTAAAAGGGTCTCCTCTGCAACAAGAGCCTTTCTACAATTTAATGGTCTTCTTTAGGCATGGGACATTAACAGCATTAAATTAAAAGGCTACAAATAACAATGAAATTTAATAAAATTTAGTTATTCACAGATTTTGTCCATGAAACTTAATCATGAAACATTTTAAATATACAACAATAATGTATGATGTGTATATTTCAATTTGAATATATAAACTAGCATTAATGAAACTCCTAATGCTTTTCCCTCAAGATGTAATTTTGACTTTATCAGAGGTTTCTGGTTCTTCATATTCCACTTCTAGTCGTGCTTTACTACGATGCTTTACAACTTTTGGGGCTCTGCTTGGTTTTACTGATTTCTTGCGCTTAAAGGAAAATTCTGACACATCTTCATTGCTTTCCTTATCAACATCACCAGAATCTTCTTCCTCTTCTTCAGAGGTTAAGGCCAGTTTATCTGCAGCATCCTGAAAATTTTAACGAGATAATATTTTAAAGAGAGTATAAAACAATTTTGAAAAAATATATGTATGTATGGAGTTATAATTGAAAGAATTAAGAGTAAGACGGAGAATAGGATAGCAGATGAACAAGGAGGCTTTAGGAAAGGTAGGGGGTGTGTGGACCACGTGTTTACAGTGAAACATATAAGTGAACAGTATTTAGATAAGGCTAAAGAGGTCTTTGTGGCATTTATGGATTTGGAAAAGGCGTATGACAGGGTGGATAGGGGGGCAATGTGGCAGATGTTGCAAGTGTATGGTGTAGGAGGTAGGTTACTGAAAGCAGTGAAGAGTTTTTACGAGGATAGTGAGGCTCAAGTTAGAGTATGTAGGAAAGAGGGAAATTTTTTCCCAGTAAAAGTAGGCCTTAGACAAGGATGTGTGATGTCACCGTGGTTGTTTAATATATTTATAGATGGGGTTGTAAGAGAAGTAAATGCGAGGGTCTTGGCAAGAGGCGTGGAGTTAAAAGATAAAGAATCACACACAAAGTGGGAGTTGTCACAGCTGCTCTTTGCTGATGACACTGTGCTCATGGGAGATTCTGAAGAGAAGCTGCAGAGATTGGTGGATGAATTTGGTAGGGTGTGCAAAAGAAGAAAATTAAAGGTGAATACAGGAAAGAGTAAGGTTATGAGGATAACAAAAAGATTAGGTGATGAAAGATTGAATATCAGATTGGAGGGAGAGAGTATGGAGGAGGTGAACGTATTCAGATATTTGGGAGTGGACATGTCAGCGGATGGGTCTATGAAAGATGAGGTGAATCATAGAATTGATGAGGGAAAAAGAGTGAGTGGTGCACTTAGGAGTCTGTGGAGACAAAGAACTTTGTCCTTGGAGGCAAAGAGGGGAATGTATGAGAGTATAGTTTTACCAACGCTCTTATATGGGTGTGAAGCGTGGGTGATGAATGTTGCAGCGAGGAGAAGGCTGGAGGCAGTGGAGATGTCATGTCTGAGGGCAATGTGTGGTGTGAATATAATGCAGAGAATTCGTAGTTTGGAAGTTAGGAGGAGGTGCGGGATTACCAAAACTGTTGTCCAGAGGGCTGAGGAAGGGTTGTTGAGGTGGTTCGGACATGTAGAGAGAATGGAGCGAAACAGAATGACTTCAAGAGTGTATCAGTCTGTAGTGGAAGGAAGGCGGGGTAGGGGTCGGCCTAGGAAGGGTTGGAGGGAGGGGGTAAAGGAGGTTTTGTGTGCGAGGGGCTTGGACTTCCAGCAGGCATGCGTGAGCGTGTTTGATAGGAGTGAATGGAGACAAATGGTTTTTAATACTTGACGTGCTGTTGGAGTGTGAGCAAAGTAACATTTATGAAGGGATTCAGGGAAACCGGCAGGCCGGACTTGAGTCCTGGAGATGGGAAGTACAGTGTCTGCACTCTGAAGGAGGGGTGTTAATGTTGCAGTTTAAAAACTGTAGTGTAAAGCACCCTTCTGGCAAGACAGTGATGGAGTGAATGATGGTGAAAGTTTTTCTTTTTCGGGCCACCCTGCCTTGGTGGGAATCGGCCAGTGTGATAATAAAAAAATGTATGTATATACAGTGGACCCCCGCATAGCGATATTAATCCGTGCAAGAGAGCTCATTGTTATGCGAAATTATCGTTATGCGAATGAATTTTCCCCATAAGAAATAATGGAAATCAAATTAATCCGTGCAAGACACCCAAAAGTATGAAAAAAAAATTTTACCACATGAAATATACATTTTCCTACACACAAAGAGAAGGATACATGCACAATAGTAGAGTAGTACATGCACAATATATATTGTGCATGTACTACTCTACTAAATGAAGAATAAATGACACTTACCTTTATTGAAGATGCAGCAATGACTGATGAGACACTGTGTCCTGGGAGTGCCTTTTCCTCCTGAGTACTGTAGGTCCTGTTTGGCATTTTCTTCCAGAACAGGCCTTATCACACTGTGTATGCCACTACGATTCTTAAATCTCTCAAACCAACCTTTGCTGGCTTTAAATTCACCAATATGAGCACTAGTTCCAGGCATTTTTCCCTGTTCACCTGGGTGTTAGTCGACTGGTGTGGGTTGCATCCTGGGAGACAAGATTAAGGACCCCAATGGAAATAAGTTAGTCTTCGATGACACTGACTTTTTTGGGTTATCCTGGGTGGCAAATCCTCTGGGGTTAATTGTTTCTTGGTATTCTCAATAAGCCAGACCAACAACGGTGCTATAGCAGCAGCAGCAGCAGCTGACAGTGCTACAGCAGCAGCAGCAGCAGCTGACAGTGCTACCGCAGCAGCAGACGATGCTACAGCAGCAGCAGACGGTACTACAGCAGCAGCAGCAGCTGATGGTGGTACAGCAGCAGCAGCAGCTGAGTGCTACAGCAGCAGCAGACGATGCTACAGCAGCAGCAGACGGTACTACAGCAGCAGCAGCAGACGGTACTACAACAGCAGCAGCAGCAGCTGACGGTGGTACAACAGCAGCAGCAGCTGACAGTGCTACAGCAGCAGCAGACAATGCTACAGCAGCAGCAGCAGCAGCTGACGGTGGTACAGCAGCAGCAGCAGCTGTGCTACAGCAGCAGCAGCAGCTGATGGTGGTACAGCAGCAGCAGCAGCAGCTGTACCACCAATAGTAGCGATGGTTGATTGGGGTTTATTATACAACCTGGCCAGCTCGGAGACACGCACTCCACTTTCATACTTATCAATGATCTTTTTCTTCATCTCTATAGTAATTCTCACCCTTATTGCTGTAGGGTTGGCACTAGAAGCTTTCTTGGGGCCCATGGTCACTTATTTTGCAGATAAAATCACCAAAAACACTGTAATAATACGAAATGTTCCGATTGTATGCTTGGATGTTACCGCGGAGGCTGGCTGGTAAACAATGCCACCGGCGGCACATGTGAGGCTGGCTAAGGGCGCACATTGGACGCGTCTCGGACGAAGAGCGGTGAGCGGGTTTTTGAGCGGTATGCGAGGCAAAATTTTTGCGATAAAAGCGAGTGGTATGCGGATTGAACGTTATGTGATGCGTACGGTATGTGGGGGTCCACTGTACGTCTTGCTACTTCTACTTACACTTAGGTCACACTACACATACATGTACAAGCATATATACACACACACCCCTCTGGGTTTTCTTCTGTTTTCTTACTAGTTCTTGTTCTTGTTTATTTTCTCTTACATCCATGGGGAAGTGGAACAGAATTCTTCCTCCGTAAGGCATGCATGTTGTAGGAGACGACTAAAATGCCGGGAGCAAGGGGCTAGTAACCTCTTCTCCCGTATATATTACTAAATGTAAAAGGAGAAACTTTCGTTTTTCCTTTTGGGCCACCCTGCCTTGGTGGGATACAGCCAGTGTGTTGAAAGAAAGAAAGTGCAAGTCCCACTCAAATCCAACCCCTCTCACTCATGTACTTATCCAACCTAAATTTGAAACTACCCAAAGCCCTAGCCTCAATAACCCAACTAGGTAGACTGTTCCACTCATCAACTACCCTATTTCCAAACCAATACTTTCCTATGTCCTTTCTAAATCTAAACTTACCTAATTTAAATCCATTACTGCGGGTTCTCTCTTGGAGAGATATCCTCAAGACCTTATTAATATCCCCTTTATTAATACCTATCTTCCACTTATACACTTCGATCAGGTCTCCCCTCATTCTTCGTCTAACAAGTGAATGTAACTTAAGAGTCTTCAATCGTTTTTCATAAGGAAGATTTCTAATGCTATGTATTAATTTAGTCATCCTACGCTGAATGTTTTCTAACGAATTTATGTCCATTCTGTAATATGGAGACCAGAACTGAGCTGCATAATCTAGGCGAGGCCTTACTAATGATGTATAAAGCTGCAATATGACCTCTGGATTTCTGTTGCTTACACTTCTTGATATAAATCCCAGTAATCTATTTGCCTTATTACGTACGCTTAGGCATTGCTGTCTTGGTTTAAGGTTGCTGCTTACCATAACCCCCAAGTCCTTTTCGCAATGTGAAACAGCTGTCATATAACTTTTACAGACTACTTTCATTGCATTTCTTCAAGTTAATTTAATTCTTTAATACTCAAAGGTTGAAGAAAAATTTTCTAGTATCTCTCTAGCTCATTTTGGTGTAAAATTTCCAATCATCCTCTTGCTCCTTTTTCATCTATGCCTTATATTTACTGTTTATGTAATGATCATATCCCTTACATTTTTTCCTTCCTCCAGTTACATAAGGCCTAGTTTTCACTTTCCTCAAATCAGGCACCAGTCTGAATATACTAGTAAACTTTATACTTTATCAAATGACACTATATTTTAATAAATCTTCCTGATTACGTGGTTCGGGCATTTCAAGAGGATGGAAAAGGACAGGCTGACTAAGAGGGTACTGTATATAAATGTAGGGTGGGAGACATAGGGGTCATTCTAGGAAGGGCTAGGGAAGGAGGTAAAAGAAGTTAAGAGTGATTAGGGCTTGAACATCCAAAAGGTTTGTGTGACCTAGATCGGGGCAAACACTGGAGTGTGAGCAATGTAACATTTGCCAAGGTATTTAAATGTAAAGTGGAAAGCAGTGTAAAGAGCAGTACTGCCTCTCCTCACTCAGTGATGTACTCGTTTACAGATGCCTCGAATTTATGACAGGCTCTCTGACCAGTATTCATACCTAAATAATTTATATTAGAGCTTATTTCCTCTATTCAGTCTATTTCAATATACAGTACACTACTGTATAAACATTTAAAAGTATACCAGAAATGTTATAAATGGTGCAAAGGTGACATTAAAACAATATCAAAGATGGTTGACACAACCCACTACCATTATAGTACGTATTCTCCTCACTGAGCGATGAATTCGTTTAACAATGTGGTCTCAGGAATGGAACTCAGTCATTAAGTGAGAAAAGTCTGTACAGTAGGACCCCACTTATATGGCAGGTTAGGTTCCAGGCTACTGCCGGAAAGCAGAACGCCATTTT